AAAAACAAGGAAACAAAAGAAAAATAGGGAAGTTTGAGGAATTAGCAGAATTGGAATTGCGGAAAAAGAAAAGGGAAGAAAAAATATAGAAAAAGAATAACTTTCAACTTTCACTGATATAAAAAAACATCAATATTTGGCTCTGAAATGAACCATAATACACAGTGTTGTCCCCAATTCGGGTCTGAGCCTGGTGCCAAAGCCAATAAAAAACACCAGGTACAAGGTGCAAGTTTTGTTTCCTTTTATTAAAGTGCTTCAGCAAAAGGGGTTCCAGCCAGCAAAATGCCAGGACCCACAACAAAGGATAAAGAAAGCTTTATACAATTTCATTAAAGCAAAAGGTGGGACAAGGCAGGATACATAAGAAATCTCATCTAATAAACATTTTAGTAATAATCTAACAATTTGTTCTATTAGTCTCTAACCATCCCTGTTCCTAAGCCTTGGCTAATGAATGCTCCAGAAGCTAATAGACATTCTATTTGCTCCAGGCCATGCTTATTTCTAACTTCTTGCTGAGGTATGCAGGATGTCTTTCTTATTGTTATCTGTTCTCTAACCACCTGGAATGGAGTGTTACATGTGCATATTCTCTGTGAATACATACTCTTTGATCTTGCCAACAGACTCCACAAATATATACATTCTGATTTTCTTTCAAGTGTATGCCATAGCCTTGCTTTGTTTTACCAGCCAGCTCACCATAGTACTTCTATAATCGTAAATAGTTTTCATTGTCAAATCAAATCAAATCATTTTCAAGCAAAAAGTCCAGAAGTGGTTCCCAAGCAGACAGTCTTTTCTTCAATCAAAGCAGTCACTTTTGCCATCTCAGGCAACTCCATTAACGTCACCATTCATTCTTCCTTTGTGGGGATCTGTAAGTCTTCCATCTCTGTGAAGAATACAAAAGTCTTGCTGTTGTTATATTGGATAAAAACAAAGTCCCATGTTTTTCCCCCAATCTGTTTATGTATCAAATGTAAAGAACAACCTCTGCTTTCAATTTTACATACATTTTAAGAACTCTCTGAATTAAAGTGTGTATCAGTAATTAAAAGAATTTGAACTAAAACCCAGGAAATGTGAGTTTCTTAGTCCTTCTTTAAGCATGACAGCTGGCTGGGTGATTTGGGACCAGTCATTCTCTCTGAGGCTAGACTGGGAAATTGAAAAACATCTACCTCATCACATAACATAGTGGCTTATGGACTACAACTTTCAACGAGCCCATCATCTTATAATGGTTTGATTCAGGCTGATAATAATAATGACAATGATGATAATAGTAATTTTGTTTGTTTGTTTCTCATATTTCACGTATTACAGTCCCAATCCAGCATTAACAATGCAACACTAACTTCTTGACTTTTGATTGCCAGATTTCTAGGAAGTCACCAGGGAAATATTTCTGCTACATTGTTAAATGAAATTCACAGTACATTAACACAAAATCTACCATCCATTTAGAAAAGGGAGGAAGACTTTAGATGGAGACGTTTTGTTAGTATTTTGCTTTCAACCAGAAACAGCTAATGCAACGTACAAGATTCTAAGAACTCTAATCAATAGTTTTAATTAGAAGAAAGGTTAAGATTGCATCAGAAGAATTCTGGCAAGAATTTTACCTTTAGATTAGACATCTATAATATATAGGCAATTTAGGGCTACAAAAAACCCATGCCCATTTGCTTGTGCATTTTTGGTTTAGTAAACTTGCAAACTACCTCATTTGAGAAGCTGGACAGTTGGCATTTGTTCTCTGTTTTGAAAGTGATCATTCCTATGTGTGCGCTAAGCAATGACAAATTGGGCTTAAAAATGGTATTGATTCAGCTGGTGGCCTTAAGGAAGAATATTGCAAAGTATAATCAAAGAAGGAAGGACTGAGAAGAACATTAATGAAGATTCTCAGTCATCCAGGTCATGGTTATCCCAAAGGTGCTTTTTCAGGAGGCAACTGGACTTTCTCGTTTTTTCTTTCTTCTTTGAAGATGTTTCACTTATCATTCAAGAAGCTTCTGCAGCTCTGACTAGAATCACTAGATGGTGTGGAACGGAAAGTTTATACTCCTTGCAGTATGTGACAAGAAATGTCAGATATATATCTGTCTCTTTAAGATCTTTTTAAAATGCAGTAGGTAGAAATTGCAGTTTTCTATAGCTCATTAGTGTATTATAAGGTAGGAAATAATGCTTTGTGGGATTCTTAAATAGGCCTGTTTCTCTGGGATAAGATGAACTCAATTCAGTCTTTCCCACCATTGATATTCTCTAACTATATAGCAAGGGTGGGGAACTATGCAGGGGTGGGTTCTACTTATCTTTACTACCGGTTCGCAATGGGGCTGCGTGCGCGTTGCATGCACAGAAGCATTCTGATGACATCGGGGTCAGTGGGTGGAGCCTCCCGCCGGTTTTACTACCGGTTCTATAGAACCGGTGCAAACCGGAGGCAACTCACCACTGGAACTATGGCCTATGGACTTCACTTTGGAGAAACTTGTGTTGAAACTAATATAATCTGGCTTTTTCAAAGAGTGAATTGTAACCATAAAAAATCTTTCTCTGAAGCTTTTGAGATGCTTGCTTTTCATGGAATATATGAAATACTAACTTCCTCTTAATTTATTCCTGTTAACTGCAATACATTTTAATAAATTATTTAATAATTCAGGTTTTGTAATTTTCACTAATAATTGTCAGGTTCACTTTTGCATATGTTAAATATACTAAATTTATTCTTCACAATGATTTTATATTTTAATATATTTAATATATTTTAATATCAATCCATTAATATCAGGTTTTGGATGTATATTTTCTGTAGGTTGTAGGTTGCTTGAAACTAATGCTAATAAACAAATAATTCTCTTTGTAACCTTTTATTAATTTTTCTCCTGCCTAGTTCAAATCTTCCTGTGATTATGGATTCCTCCACTTCTTTAAATGCACCCTCAGCATCATATTAAATCTTTGGGAATATTAATAATGAATGTCTATTTCTAGTAAATCCTTTTTTCTTTAATTTTAACACAACACAATACATTCTTAGGTTACAGATAGTAATTTATGGTCAAAGATGTCTATTATCCATAATCTATAGCAATTCTGTCAACCAGGTCATGGTTGTCCCAAAGGTGCTTTTTCAGGAGGCAACCGGACTTCTTTGTTTTTTCTTTGAAGAAAAGATACCGTGTTTTCCCACAAATAAGACCCTGTCTTATATTTTTTTGAACCCTGAAATAAGTGCTTGGCCTTATTGCCATGTGCTCAAAAGCCCAATTGGGCTTATTATCAGGAGATGTCTTATTTTGGGGGAAACAGGGTAAAGATAAATCTCCAAGAGGATGCAAATGATCAGCTGTCTGTGGGGAATATAAATCCTTCCATTCCCCACCATCCAGTCAGAGCTGAAGAAGCTGCTTGGATGAGAAGCAAAACAGCTTCAAAGAAAAAACAGGAAAGTCCAGTTGCCTCCTGAAAAAGCACCTTTGAGATATCTATTATCCATAGTATCAATCATATAAAACAGTTCTAATGACCAAACATCAGAAATATACCTCCTAATACAAGCAAACAACAACATTGACAAAACCCAACATAGTTATAACAACAATAAGAAATAAGCAACTACAGGTAGTCTTTAACTTATGACCAAAATTGAGCCCAAGATTTATGTCGTTAAATGACAAATTTGTTAAGTGAGTTTTGCCCCATTTTCTGACTTTTCTTGCCCCATTTGTTAAGGGAATCACTGCAACTGTTAAATTAGTCATATGGTTGTTAAGTGAATCTGATTTCCCCATTGACTTTGCTTGTCAGAAGGCCGCGAAAAGGGATCACATGATCCCAGGACACTGCAATCATCATAAGTATGAGTCAGTTGCCAAGCATCCCAATTTTGATTACATGGTCATGGAGGATGCTGCAACAGTTGCAAGTGTGAAAAATGGTCATATGTCACTTTTTTCAGAGCCATTATAACTTCGAATGGGCACTAAACGAACTGTTGTAAGTCGAGGATTACCTCTATGTTCCCAGGCCTGGGGCACTAAATGTGCTAAATGCCCCATTTCCTGGTTATATTGCTAACTGGCCAAATATTTTGCTCTTGTGTATGTTGAATTTAAGGGATGCAGTGGATCAGTGCCTAAGATGCTGAGCTTGTCGATCGAAAGGTTGGCAGTTCAGCAGTTCGAATCCCTAATGCCACGTAACGGGGTGAGCTCCCATTACTTGTCCCAACTTCTGCCAGTTCGAAAGCATGTAAAAAATGCAAGTAGAAAAATAGGGACCATCTTTGGTGGGAAGGTAACAGCGTTCCTTGCGCCTTTGGCGTTTAGTCATGCCGGCCACATAACCACAGAGACGTCTTCAGACAGCGCTGGCTCTTCGGCTTTGAAACGGAGATGAGCACCGCCCCCTAGAGTCGGGAACGACTAACACATATGTGCAAGGGGAACCTTTACCTTTACGTTGAATTTGAAGGCTTTTCGTGTTTTTACTGTTTTACAGTTTTTGTTGTTTTAATTTTAAATTTTTTTTAATCATAATATATTTTCTGAATTGTAAGCCACCCAGAATCACCGACTGAGATAAAATGCTTTAGGAATTGAACAAACAAACAAACAAGCAAGTAAACAAGATGGTTACAGTCTCAGGAGGGCCTGGCACTACACCTAAGCATTTTCAATGAAAAAAAAAAAGAGGATGTTCTGCTTTTGATGTTCTGCTTTCTGTACCATCTACTGAATATGTAGTAAACTTCATAATATCAGATTAAATATGCAGTGTATGTAGGAATCTATGATAATTAGTTTATATAATTACAAATGTCCAGCTTGCACAGCATGCTGTTTTCATAATGCATTTTCATTTAGTCAAAATTGCTGCAGATTAGAAATGCAAACATTGTGTAAACAGACATGGGCGTTGAAGTAGTTCATTATAAATATCTGCACTTCACTGTCGAAGGCATCTCACTCACTGGCAGCCTCAGATTGCGGTATCACATCTGAAGTGAGGAAGCTTTGGGCTACCTTTGCTTTGGCATCAAGACTGAACACAGTAAAGAGGTAAGACGAGAGAAAGAGGTCTCTGCTGGAACACTAAGGTATCCTTTTCCTGACTCAAAGTAGTGTTTTTTTTCTCCTCTTTTCTTTTATGGTCAACAAGCCATTGTTTGCCAGAATAACAGTAATGGAGAGAGGCTTTGTATTGTTTCATTGGTGGTCAGGTAATAATTGAGGATATTTTAAGTCACTCATGGAGAAATGTTAGATGTTGTTAGCCATCCAGGGTTGCTATGGTGAGATGGACAGACATATCTATCTAATCTATATATATAAAAGAGAAAACCACTCATGCCGCGATCATGAAATCTCCAGAACCGTAAAGCCTACAAACGTGAAATTTGGCATGTATGTTCCTCTTGGCTTCTATGTGCTTGCTAAGAAAGGATGTTTCAAAATGACCATCAGATCGTTAGTATTTCTTATATTATTATAACCCGCTCTGATGCTAATTAGCTAGACGTTCTACTCCCCCTCCCAACCTGAAAATAACTCTAGAGAGAAGGGGATAGGATAGGGGAGGCTTCTGTGGGGCAAGCCTGAGGGAGAGAAGGGGATAGGATAGGAGAGACTTCTGTGGGGCAAGCCTGAGGGAGAGAAGGGGATAGGATAGGAGAGGCTTCTGTGGGGCAAGGCTGACAGAGAGAAGGGGGAGAGGATAGGGGAGGCTTCTGTGGGGCAAAGCTGACGGAGAGAAGGGGATAGGATAGGAGAGGCTTCTGTGGGGCAAGGCTGAGGGAAAGAAGGGGAGAGGAGAGGCTAATCATAACTACTCATTAATTTTCAAGCTGTAAGTGTCAATTTATCAAGCTTGATCACATAGTTTCGTAGTGGAGCACGGGTATTCAGCTAGTAAATCAATAAGCAAATAAGTCTTGAGATGTGAGGAGAAAGTATTTCTGAACCCCAGTATTTAATAAGAGGCTTCTTGGAATAAAAAAAATGAATTGTTTCCCAGGAAAATAATCGGCTAATAGATTTATGTAACTGCTGTCCAGGATTTATGTAGAATTCCATTTCCTCCCGGAAATGAAACATTTATTCACAAATGGTGATATTTCGAAGATTTTGCATCATTCAATACTATAGGTGCATGTTTGACCGTCTCTCTGCTTATTTAAACGAATCAGTTCTACCACAGGCCAAATGTTATCTGATCCATGTCAGTTTTTAAAGGCATTAAAGAGTTAAGATACTAAGACTAAGAGTGGGAAAACCTGAGTTTTTCATCCCTAATTAAGCATGAAGCCATTTGGGTAACTTCGGGCTGGGCATCTCTCTCAGTCCAAAGAAGAAGATACTGGCAGGCCATCTCTAAAACTGTTGCAAAGAAAACTATAAATATGTCCATCTAGTCACCAAAAATGTCAGTGTTGACACCTCACTCTGATAGAGCTCTGGTCCTGCTCATTTCCTGTTGTCTGTGGAGATTTGCACAGGCAAATTGGAACCCAAAGGCATATGCAATCAAAACCCTATCCCTTCCATGGGTGTGTGAATACATGTACGATGCACCTGATTCAAAATCCCAGGTGAAAGAATATAATTCTTAAAATGAACTGACTGATTTGGCATGCTGGAAAAAAGGAGAGTTGAAGTCAAACTCCAATGTTAATCAGACAAAGCTCAAGTCAAGCAAAGAGTAAAGGGATGTCCCATTAAGCAGAGAAGAAGATCACAGAAAGAAGACTTCCTCCACAAGAAATCTGTTCAAGAAGAATCAGAATAATCTCTGGCCATTGTGAACAAGGTGTAACCTCTATTGTTCAGTGGACTTAATTGAGTTTTATTAGGCAAGCATTCCTTTTTATAGCAGGTCTTCATGTTAAATGTTCAAAATGAGGAACATAAAAGCTATAAATACTTGGGATGTCTTAAGGGCACTGAAACACAGCTTACTGTATAAGCTGCATTTGGCCAACTTAAAGAAACCCAGGAAGCTATACTGTGGTTTGTGTGAACCCAAATCCAATTGCATAACTAACTTTCATCTAAACAAGCTGCAACATGTTTTGTTGGGTTCTTTAACTCATCACCCTGCTTCCTAAAACAGATGCGCAGTATACATACTCAACTTCCCTACCTATCTGTGCCTTCTGATTAGACTTCATGAAGGCGGCTTTTCTTTTATTTCAGCTTTACTACTCCACTTGATATTTATCCTGAATCTTGTCTAAGGAAAATCTAAATTGGTGTCATTCCCACGGTACAGTAATCCCCATGGGGTTGGGGTTGTAGACGAAGCAGCCAATGGGGGCACAGTCAGTAAAATCAGGAAGAGAGAAACCTTATGCTTCTGTTGCAGACAATGAGGCTTCTGTATTAATTGGGTTTGTGTCTTTCTTGAAGGAAGAGACACAACTGAACAAAGGTTCTCCATGAATGGCTAGCTCACACTTTATTTAAGGCTCTGCTTCCTTCCTTTCCCTTTAATCTAGGAGTTTTTAGTGTTGAAGGTATACATCCAATGATGCAGATTCCTGACCATAAGGAGGCAGGAGGGTATATATTAATAATAATTAATTGTTCTGATCCACAAGAACAATGATGTGCAGAAAAAAATGGTGAACAATATTAATGAGCAGAAATTAAAATTAAAACCACATAAAAGTGGAGGATCATGCTGGAGATTGACTGTGTGAGATTGACCATTTTTGCTGGCAGAGGGTTGCAGGAGGTGGTCACAGCTGAAAACGGAGCTCAGGAGACTGTTTTGACTGGCAGGGTGCTCAGGCCACCACAGACACAATACCCCCAATACAAGTGACATCAATCTGGCCATACCCACCTCAGCCATGCCCACCCCGGCCCCCTGAGGTCAAACACAACCCTGATGCAGCCCTCAATGAAATTGAGTTTGACACCCCTGCTTTATAGCCTTGTCTTTCCTTTTTTAGTGGTATGTGAAAATGATTTTGGGAGACAGGGGGAACAGGTGAAGCCAAGACAAAGATGGGATAAACCAAATTTGAGTCTGAACAGGGAGGGGTGGCAAAAAGCAACTCAGAAGGAACCCTCCCTAGTTTTCAGGAGAGTGAAAGTGAGGGACTGGAGAGGTACTTTCAGACTTGCAAGATTCTGTTAATGAAATCTTACAAGAAAGATAAAGTTAGTACTCCTGTCTCCTTGTCTGGATCTCCCCATAGGTCTGATGGAAACACAGTGGCTCATGTAGTTAGGACACTGGGTTGACAATTTAGCAAGACCATATTTGAGACCAAGTGAGGCTGTGGGATTAGCTGGTATTTGTCATTTTTCCATTATTCTCTCTTGTACAAAGGAAAAAAACAAATGTCAGTACAAACTATTGATCTCATTTCTTTACTGTTGCAGGTACTATTAGCTCCACCATGAAACACTTTGTTCAGGCTAATGGCATGTTTGCTGTAGACCTTTTCAAAAGGCAACAGCAGGAGAACTCTGGGAAAAATTTCATTACATTCTCATTGGGTTCGACAATGGCATTAGGCATGCTCTGGCTTGGCAGTGACAAAGCCACTGCTGATGAAATAAGAAAGGTAAGTGTCCTCAAGTACGTGTGTTCCTTAAAATAGTTATTTTAAGTCTTATTAAATTATTAACTATAGGTCACACATATAATCACATCTATGTTATTGCTAGAAAATGTTTCTTCCTGGTATCTGTCATATGAATATCTGCATGTGGGAAATCTCTCCTGATTAGCAGCCTTTCTTCCCAACTGGACTTTCCAAAATTCCTTGGAAAGGAACCTTTATGAATCTTCAGTGAGGAAATGATATAACAAATGTAAAGAAAACTGTGCATTTTTGCAATAAGCATGTCACCATGCACAAAGGAAATATTTACTTATGTACCTCCTTATTCAATCTTCATTCTTGCTGACAGTCACATTCCAACAAAACTCCTGGTGGGTTAGAATATTCACACCAAAACTAGTAAAATTAATATATAACTAACACACACAGAGTCACACATGCACAAATGCCCAAAACTTCTTGGCATCCAGTAATGACAATGGCTTATTAATTTAATGCCCCATAGAAAACTCCTGTCTTTTCTATCTTCCTGAGTTTTAAAGCTTTGTATAGTGACGGTATTTGTATAAAGCAGGGGAGAGGATGAGTGGCTAGAATATTTCTGCCCTCCAGCTCAGGAAAAATGACACAGAGCAATGGTTTTCAAACACCTTTTTGGAAAATTATCATAACCCTAACAAGTAGACAAGGTGATGCAAGAAGCTCAGGAGATAAGATGATCAGGAACAAGAAGAGTCGGTGATGTCCAAATACGGCTCTGTATTTGTGCCTTGGTATGCTCAACCCCAATGCAGCTACTGGGACAGGAAGATCTATTAATTTGTGATTCATTTAGAAATATTCCAAGGTAAAGAGGATTCTCTTAGAGAGAGAACCTAGAACCTAGACTTACATTTCTTTTTATAGTTTGCACAATAAAGACATTTCAAAGTAAAAGTTGATTGGGTTAAGAAAAATAATCTCTCCAGTTACATCATGAAAAATTAGACATTCAATAATATGTAAGTGTAAGAATGGAGAAGAGTGTTGTATTCTGAGTAAAAGTAAAAGAAAGATTTCCAAGGGAAAAACATCAGACGAGATATTGATGAGATACATTCACATGGCTTTCCCAGCTCTGGACTCATAGACTTGTATCAAATATTTGGCCAGTCCTAGTTTCTAAAAGAAATGCCTTTTACATTCTTCTAGGACAGGGGTGTCAAACTCAAGGCCTGGGGGCTGGATCCGGCCTGCAGAGTGCTTAGATCTGGCCCACGGGGCCACCCTGGAAACAGCGAATGACCGGCCTGTGGCGCCAGCAAAAACGGAGCTTGGGAGGGCCGTTGTGAGCTCCGTTTTTGGTGGCAGAGGGTTGCAGGAGGCCGTTGCAGCCGAAAATGGAGCTTTGAAGCCCATTTTTGCTGGCAGAGTGCTCAGGCCACCACAGGTACCCCCAACATGAGTGATGTCACACTTGCCATGCTCACCCTGGCCACCCCCTACCCCCCAAATCAAACACAACCCTGATGTGGCCCTCAATGAAATCAAGTTTGGCATCCCTGTTCTAGAAGGTTAAGGTTTATGGCAAATTGTAAGCAATACATTTAAAAGAAGGAAAATAAGGCAAATTAAAATACAAGAAAACCCATGTTAGCTAGCTGGTGTGATATTATTTACAAAACCTATATTTTAAGTATTACGAAGTCCATATTGCATGGCCCTCAGCAGCAAACTGCAATCAGACTTTAGCATGTTGCGAGTTATCCCCTGAATTCTCTAAATTTTCCCGCTGCCCTCAGGGACAACTGAAGAAGTGATCCCACTAGCAGTCTTGAGCATTAAGTCAGGTGAATGTATTTCTCTAGGATCCTTAGAGGGCAACACCTTGTCCCTCACTTCAAGCAGAAAGTAATTCCTGGATACTACTTACTACATTCATGTTGAAAGCACAAGATTCTTCCCTATTGGAAGGATTAGCTAATGACATCACCATTGGCCAGTGGATGCTGAGGGGACTTCTTTCATGTCCCCCAGGTATTTCCCCACCAAAGTAGTGCCTATTTATCTACTTGCATTTGCATGCTTTCCAACTGCTAGGCAGGCAGGAGCTGGGTCAAATTGATGAGGGATCTCATTCCATTATGCGGCTCCCGGGTTTAGAACTTCTGAGCTGTCATCCTTTCAATGGCCTTCTGATTCGGTCTCTTAACCACATGAGCCACCGCAGCCCCTATTGGATGGCATATAATTAAAGATGAACAATGACAAACAAGTTTTCTTGGTTAAGAGCTAGCTCACTTTTATGTCAGGTGCTGAAAGATACATTTGCCATTTTGAGATGATACTTGAGCGTCCAAGTGGCCTGGCCATGTCTTCATGTAATTTAACAGGACATAACTATTTTTCAGTATTTTCTGCAGGAACAGCATTCATTTAGAGGATATGTAAGACTAGCAGGAAAATGAGGACTTTCCAAAATGGACATATCCCCACTTCCTGCAGTTTTGTTTGTCATATTGCAATAATAATAATACTAAAAATACAAACCGCACTATGTTTTAAATAACTTTAAAAAAATAACACACTCATTAGTTTTTTTGATTTCTGGCATCTGTAAAGCCCCAAGCAGAAGAAAGCTTGATTGTGACAGGTTAATTAATCAGGTGTATTGCGAGGGAAAATATGAGTTAGGTTACATAATGTTGGTAGCTTTGAGGGCAAGGCAGACGTGGTGCTATCTGTTTATAGCCATGAAAGGAATGTCCCATCTCTTCATATTCTTCAATATTTTGGAAACATCCGTCCTCTTTTCCGAGCTCTGAGAATTCCATTGTATCACCCATTATCATTGGCCAGGTTGTTGGGGTGGGGCACACGCACACACACACTCATCCACACTTGCCCATGTCCTAGGCTGGCAGACACTAAGCAAAGAGATGGGAGTCGCTAAGTCCGGATTCAAAGATGACTCCCAGAGTAGGCAGGCTTTGGGACCCCTTTTATCCCCAAAAGTCATAGCTCTGTTGATTTAAAAGTCTGGTTCAGAGGATTTGTGAAGGGGTTTCTTCTCCGCTCAAGTTCAACTTCTTTTGTCTGGTTCAGTTGACATTTTTTCCTTTGTTTCTTTAACAACTTTGTTCCATGTTTCCTTGCTTGCTTCATCTTGAGGTACGTCAGCTTTAGCCTGATCTTATACCCAACAAAGACAAATTGGGACAAAACGTATATATTTTGTTTTGCAGGCTCTTCACTTCTGGAGAGGGCTAGAAACTGTGACCCCTACAGATGGGCCTGTAAGAAAATTCTCATTTTACTTGAATTTCATTTTACTAACTCTACTAAATGAACTATTTGGTATAAAGTGTTCTAAGCACTTGAAAAATAGAAAATAATTTCTTTCTTAGTAAAGAAATATTAAATATCGGAAATCAGAATTGTATATCCTAACCCAAATCTGTTATGATGTTTAAGTGATTGGGCCCAACCTGTATTGTCCACAAAGTAATGGATAAGAATAATGGCTCACTTCCTAGACTCTCATCTTAAAGGAGAATATCTCAAGGATCAGGACAATGACCCCTAAGAGGACTTCTGCTGTAAAAATAAAACATATATTCACATCTTGAAACCGTTTAGCTAAGAATTGTCATATATGTGTTGTTATGAGCCATGGTGCAGCAGTGAGTTAGAATGCAGTACTGCAGGCACTGCTGATTGTCAGCAGTTTGGCAGTTTGAATCTCACCAGGCTCAAGATTGACTCAGCTTTCCATCCTTCTGAGGTCAGTAAAATAATGGCCTAACTTGTTGGGGGCAATATGCTGAGTCTGTAAACCACTTAGAGAGGCTCTGTGAAATGGGATATAAGTCTAAGTGCTATTGCTATTATGAATTACTCTGTTATGAGTTATGGTAAATGTAAATATTTAGAATAGAATAGAATAGAATAGAATAGAATAGAATAGAATAGAATAGAATAGAATAGAATAGAATAGAATAGAACAGAACAGAATAGAATAGAATTCTTTATTGGCCAAGTGTGATTGGACACACGAGGAATTTGTCTTTGGTGCATATGCTCTCAGTGTACATAAAAGGAAAGAAAAAAGAAAAAAAATATACATTCATCAAGAATCATAAGATACAACACTTAGTGATAGTCATAGGTTACTAATAAGCAATCAAATCATACTAGGAAACAAACAGAATAATATAAATCGTAAAAATACAAGCAACATGGTTATAGTCATAAGTGGGAGGAGATAGGTAATAGGAAGGATGAGAAGAATAATAGTAATGCAGTCTTTGGAGGATATTTTGGAGCAGTGGTCACCAACTGGTGGTCTTTATCCACAAGAAAATTTTGGTGGTCGGCAGAAAAATTCAGGGTCTTCTTGTGTGGGTCAGAGTCGGGAAGAAATTCTGACTTGGGGTCTGCTTCAGCCTCCTGGTGCGGGGCTTTGGGAAAGGCTGGAGGGAAGTGCTGCTGGTGGCAAAGAGCTTTGTTCCAGTGGGAATGCATCATGGATGGAACTGGCTGACCATCTCAGCTCACGGAGCCTCCAGACGCCAATACTTGGCTTTGCACTCCCGCAGGTCTTCCCTCTGCTTGGAAAGCCTATGCTCATAGTTCTCAGTGAGGTGCTTCTGCTGAGCCTCCTTCTCAGTCAGATCCAATTTGAACTGAGCTGTTTTGCTAATTCTTTCTTGTGGTGGCTGCTTAGCTCCAACAACTGCTTCCTGTTGGGGCCCTAAGGAGCCTGGGTGGGGAGAGGAGGCTGGGAGGGGAGGGGAAGGGTGAGTAGAGGCTGGTGAGGCACCCCTCGATGTGAGTGATGTTGAGTTGACGACGTCCACCCAGCCACATTCCCACCCAGTCACATGACCACCCAGCCATGTCCACCCAGCCGGTCATTAGGCAGATCGTATTAGTGGTCCGTGGGATTTAAAATTATGAATTTAATGGTCCCTGAGGTCCGAAAGGTTGGTGACCCTTGTTTTGGAGGATGTTGGCAAATATGATTTATATGATTGTAAATCTGCTATCCTTTGCTGCTTGAAGCATGCTGGGACTGAGTGTGATATACCTGGAGGATTTCACAGCCAGTTCAAGCGAATCCTAACAATCCTCAACCAGCATTCCAAATATCATATGCTGAAGATAGGTGGCCGGATATATGGATCAAAGGCTGAAGATTTCCTGGAGGTAAGAAAGAACGCTTTTTCTCTCTTCCCTTCTTAATCCAATGTTGATGGATTCTAGTGGTTTACTAGAAATTCTACAGGTATCATGTTTTGTGAAGCAGGAAATTAGGTTAGATCAGGTATAAGACTTCTGGCAAACTGCAATGCACACGTGGGGAAAAGTCTGGGTTAACATATTAGGTTTAATGTATGTGAAAATGTTCCTTCACCTAGGGCCAATAACATGCATTGCTCCATTATTCAAAGCAATTTCAAAATCTAGGACCATGTTCGTTTCCCATGAATATTCATTTCTGCATAACAGCAAACAAAACATTAAACAGTAAAATAGTGGATGATAAGATAAGGTAACTCTTTGGCAAATGCGGTTTGATACACACACACACTTTTCCAGGCAATGATGTCATTCAAACACCAGGAATTTTATTCTTCTAGGACAAAGTTTCTTAACCTGAAAAGCAATTTTCAGATGTGGGGACTATAACTCCCAGAATTCCCCAGCTCCAGAATTATTTTCAACTTTCCAGTCTAGCCTACTAACTGAGCCACAGCAAATTAGGTGCTCCCATCTAGATTGTCCAGTAACCAGTGTCAACTAGATTTATTGATTCAGTGCATGTGATAATAGGTGAATGAATATATTGCTATGTCTTCTTTCGTTTGGTGCAGCATTACATAAAGTGCGTTAAAGAGATATACAATTCGGATTTCGAAAAAGTTGATTTTAGGAATGCAGTTGAGGAAACTAGACGGAACATGAATTCCTGGGTTGAAAGCAAAACAAATGGTAAGATATCATACGCTGCTCATTGGATTTCCCACACTGAATATCAAGAAGCAGAACGTTTAGTCATTGCGAACTAACGGGAGAGGACAGACAATGGACTTTCTGCTGCAAGAAAAATTAGAGATGTGCAGTGGATTTTTATGGGCTGATGTGCTGTGGAGTGAGATGAAGCATGAGGCCAATTCCTGTATACTTTAACCTGCCACTTTAAATGCCAAAAAGATCATTCATGAATTTTAAATATTACAGGTATACATACAAAAAGATTTGTAGAGCAGGGAAGGGTCAATGAATATGTCCTACCAAGATGCTGAAGAAGAGAAAATTAACCTATGGTCTGGGGTAGGCCTGAGTGTATTGCCAATCTGCAATATATCAGAGGCTCAGAGTTTCAGGCCTTCAGCTCAATGAACCTTTGCGATCCTCATCCATGACTTTAGATAAAGGATTTGCAGAGTTGGGTCCAACCTTCCCTTAGATACAGGGAACCCACAAGATGGCTCCATTATGTCTAAGTTTTTAACACTGTGTTATGTGTATCTCTGGTGTCATTCTTCCTTTAAGTTATTGTGGGTTTTTTTTAACTGTATACTTCCCAGAGTGAGATAGGTGGCTACATAAATATAATGAGTGAATGAAATCAGGTCATTTTAGGCTTATGTTTTCACTCTTTCATTTATCTTGGATTTTGATGTTTTGTGTATTTTTTTCTATTCTCGGACTTAAAAATTGTGTTGTAGAAAGAAGTGATTCATTGACAGTATTCCACCATTTGCAGATATTTTCATTCAATGTCTTTTCCTAAAGGTGATATCAAGGAATTCTTTCCTCCTCAATCCCTTGATCAATCAACTTCCCTGATCTTATTAAATACAACCTCTTTCCAAGGAAGGTGGAAATTTCCATTTAATCCAAGAAATACATACAGAGGAGTCTTTTGGAATTGTCAGGTACAGTATATAAAAAACTAGGGAAAGTCATAATTCTATCAAACAATTAAAAGTAACAGCCTTGTTGACCATGGTGGGAACACAAAATCTATATATTAGGTGGTATCTTGAATTATCAGAGTCTGAGGTGAAAAACTGGTATTACAGTTGGCCTTGGCTTACTATACTCAACATTTCATCTTGAAACTCCTGATATTGTTATTGTTTTACTTTTAAACATTACTTTCTTTCTTATAGGATCAGAGCATTTATGTGGATATGATGACTCAAAGGGGCAGATTTAAAATAGCTAATATACCGAGTCCATCAATGAAAGTGGTGCAGCTTCCTTATTATGATGACATTATGTTTATGTACATTTTTGTGCCAGGTAACCGCCTATCTACAGATGAGGTAATTTGAGTTTTGAATCTGTATTTTAATAATATGCTTGGTAAAAGATCTGAACACACATCCCTAAATTTACCTCTACAACTTTTTAAAAATCATAGAATTACAGGAAATTGTGTTTCTAGTCCTAAACAATTCTCAAATCTCAGCTTGGATATATTTTTTTCTCATATTGTTTATCAGTATAATAACTAACTGTAGGATTTTAAATCTGTTGGTATACTGAACACATTCCTTAGTTTGTGTGCAACAATATACTAGCTTGCAATGGTAGTCTAGAGATCAATGTTGCTAGCTATCATAGAGTAGCAGGAATTATTCTAGTGACACACTAGCCAAAATTTGCTGACTAATACTGTCCTGAGGACTTTATCACTGGGGGGGGGGGGGATAGAAACTCACTATCCAGAATATAGCCTATTATCCAGTATCAGCAAAAATACTTTTTCAGACAATCTCTCCTTAAAGCCACTGATTGGAGAGTTTCCCAGATTCCTGCCTTCTCTCATCATAATTGGGAAGGCAGGTGTTCTTTTGCAGTGAATGGCTGTCTGCATCCACTGGCATTTGTGAGTTGTCACGTATATCTCCTTACATTGAATCTCCACATGGAGGTATTGGGCACCTTTGCCCAAATCTATTCTCTCTCCCACTCCCTCCCTCCCTCCATTTCTCTCTCTCTCTCTCTCTCTCTGTGTGTGTGTGTGTGTGTGTGTGTGTGATTGTGTGGTCCTTGGTGCTCCCTGAGCTTTGTTATTTTCTTGCAGACATTTCATTACCCAAACTACTTAACATCATCAATGCTAGTACTAAGACTAATGATATTACTTAGTTTGGATAATGAAACTTCTGCAAGAAAACAACTAAGCTCAGAGAGCGCTAAGGACCCCCCATTCAACTCTGAGCTACAAATATTCTCCTTATCTATCTTCTGAGTCGAACAGTCTTCCCCAAGACCACTGGTTCATGTCTGGTCTCATGTTCAGTGATGTACTGAGAACACTACTTTATATACAAGAGATATTTCTATCTCTTCTACAACGACCAGTATATGAAATATTTGGCCATGTTGTTAGGCAAACTTATGCAAAGCTTGGAAAACAGAGGGAGCAAACTGTTGTGTATGCTTTTGTACAATATTTTTCTTTCTCCAGTAGGATCTCTCTTCTGTGTATGTGTGTGTACTATTGAGAGTCAATTTTTATTAGTGTGGTTCTCTTACTTCAACTGCCACCTACTCTTAAGCCATTCTAAGAACAATGGCCACCATATATGAAAATATGACACCAGCTAGCACTAGGAGGCTCTCGACTCTGTGCTGAACTGTGGCCTGGCATTTGGGAAAAGCTGTATTTTAACAGCTGAACCTGTACCTTCTGCCCTTAATTCCTGTATATTGAATTAATATGATTTAGGAAAGACATTGCTCTATTGGGTGACATGAATGGATAAGGGGTAAAAAAAGTAAAACCTAGATAGGAAAAAAAAAACATACAGCATATTAATAAATTGTATGTATGACCAGCATTTTTATTTCACTATTCCTCTAGGAACAAAAAACAGCATGCATGCAGTAATTTTCTCTCTCCCTCAGAATTCTCACAATCTCTGTTAGGTTGACTGGGTTGAGAGAAGAGTCAAACAGTGAAATCTTTTGAATCTTGGCAATGCTAGTTTTTGCCCTTTATCTCTACAGAGATTATATCCCTCCTTTTCCTGGGATTCCTGATTTTAATCAGTGGCTGGGGGGAATTGGGAATTGGTGGAAACCCCAGCCGTCACTTCTCTTCAAATTCTGCCTTTTGTTTTAAAAGGGCTCACATTTTCTCCCTTCAGCAAGGAGTCTAGATCAGGGGTCTCCAACCTTGGCAACCTTAAAACCTGTGGACTTGTGGAGTTGAAGTCCACAAGTCTTAAAGTTGCCAAGGTTGGGGACCCCTGGTCTAGATTATTTCCCTTCATTTACATGTCAGAGAAATCTCCCTTACAGGGAATGCATAAACTGTAAATGCCTGGCAGCCTATGAGATTGAGAATATCCAGTTTAAGCAGACATATTCACAACCCTGAAGCAAGATACATTCTTCCTAGATGCACTGCTCAGCAGATTGAAGAGAAGTAGCATTTCAGCAGATAAATTTATTAGATTATGTCAAAACGATAATGTGGTTATTGTGAAGATGTTTGGCATTTTGGAAAACCATTTGTCTGTTTTGTTCTTTTTTCCCCTCCAATATTTTTTTTTCACTATTGGATTGGTTTCTATTTTACTTGACAGATTATAACGAATCTCACTCCCGAAAAATTGCAAAGTTGTATCGATCCCGCAAATATGAGAGAGGAAGACCTTAAAATTTCTTTTCCAAAGTTCAAAGTGAAAATGAACTATTCAATGAAAGATGTATTTTCAAAAATGGGGGTGAAAGATCTGTTTACTCCAGGCAAAGCTGATTTATCTGGCATGACTGGGAATACTCAGGCGATGGTGTCTCAGATTAGTCAATCAATTACCTTTACTGTCAACGAAGATGGTGTAGAGGCAGCTGGAGCCTCTCGTACAGAGGTAGTAGATGGGGCTTTCAGTGAACTTAAAGTGAATAAGGAATTCATTTTTCTTGTGAAACATAAGGCAACTAACTTCATCATGTTTTTGGGCAGGATTTGTATGCCAAAGTGGGAGGAGCTGCCATAATAACAAATGTCTTCCCAGGTGTTGTAAACAGTGGAGCCTTCTATATTCTTAATTCTATTTCAACTTGGCCAATATCTTGTCTAAATTTATAAGCCCAAAATTGATTTCCTATTTGCCTATCTGGGAAAAAAAAAAGGCTTTTACTTTGTGAGTTTATTTGCAATTCCTCTCCAGTGCAAAAGTGATATATCCATAATAAACTTTTCTTATACTGTGCATTAAACTCCTTTTCAACAGCAAAACGTGCATATTTGGGATTTCATACATGGAATACGGAACAATTGGGGAGAATCCTCCTTAGAGAATAAACCTAAAGTAAAAGAATGTCCTCAATCATCCAGGTCAAGTCCAGTTGCCTTTTAGAAAAAAACACCTTTGGGACTAAAGGGGGTAGTTGTAGGGCAAAGGAGGACAAATACAACTATCGTATTTTTCAGAGTATAAGACACACCTTAGTTTTTGGGGAGGAAAATAAGAAAAAAGCTAATTGGTGGGTGGATCAGCCTCCCGAAATACCCCCAATCAGCTGTTCCAGAGGTGAATTTTAGCAACAGGTTCCTTAGTTGTGAGCTCTGTGCCTTGCTTTTTTTTTTTTTGCTTTTTTTCCTGCCTCTGAAACTTCTGAAACTCCCTTTCAGAAAAAAAAAACTTTTTTTTCCTGCCTCTGAAAGCCTCCGAAACAGAGCTTCAGAAAAAAAGCCTCTGAAGCTCTGTTTGGGGTCTTCTTTTCTGAAGCTTCTTTTCTGATGCTTTTTTCAGCCTCTGAAACCTCCGTTTGAAAAGCTGGGCGGGGCTACATTCGGAGTGTAAAACACACCCAGGTTTTCACCCTTTTTTTGATTTATTCAAATCTTGGTTTGGAAGAGGTCTAAAGCTGGGAATTGCAAATTGTAACTGATGCAAATGGAACGTACATGATTCTGTAAATTTGTCTGATGATGTTAATAACATAGCCTAATATGTAATAGGTTTTCTGATCAATAGCCAAGATGATTTATTTTGGCTGGGCTGCAGTTCATTCAGTTCATTCTGTGTGGTTGGTTCTTCCTTTAAAATAGCTGACCTTCTGGGATTGTGGAAGTAGCTTCTTTTTGCTGGTCAAGAAATCCTGCCCGTTAGAAGCTTTCAATGTCTTATGGTCTCTTTTCTCTCCTTGAGAGATTCAAATGTGGTGGCATATCTCTGTGCACCACTCTTAATTTTTAATCTGGGGAATAATCTGAGGCATCAGGAAATAGATATAAATAGAGATAGATATATGATAGATAGATAAATAGACAGACAGAGGAAAGCAGTGAATCATTCTAAGTGATCTATATATTCTATATATCTATATCTACATATTTCCCTGAGACAATCAGTCCTATAAGGCAGACCAAATTAGGAAACAACAATAGAATTTGAAACAATAGAGTTTTAGTAGTCCTTGTGATGACTATTTCCTAACCTGGCCTACTTCAAAGGGCTGATTTCTCCAGATTTCACTGCATATGGAGGCAGAGTTGGACAACCCAATTTTTATGTGTAAAAGGAGGCCAGAGAAAAGAACGTGTCAGGCGTGATTTAGCAGAAGAACTTTCAGCACAGTTGAAAGAAGGAGGGCTAGGTTCAATTTTCTCTCTTGAGAAATAGCTTCCTGCTGAAATCAGACCATGGGCTCTGCTGAAATATTTCTCTGTGTTTTTTTTTAAAAAGTTTTGCAAAGCTTCTAAATGTCAGAATGGAATTCTTATTCATTTCCCCAAGTGGTAGGTGTCTTAACAGCGACAGTACATGTCAAAGTCCCTGCAGACTGATTGAATGGACCAGCCACATAGTGAGTGGGTTTGAAGAGATGAAAGCTAAAGTTCTGCCAGGAAGTTTCTGAATCAGCAAAAAGCAACTCTTATGAAACTCTGTCTATTAACGCTACTGTTAAAAAAAAAAGCCTAATAAAGCTCTATCATGCAAGTACTTTACAGTGTCAGTTTGAATTTATGGTTTCCTTGAAAAATTAGTAGCATTTCACTGTATGGATTAAGCCAGGCCTCTCCAAACTTGACAACTTCCTTGAATTCTGGGAATTGAAGTCCACAAGTCTTAAAGTTGCCAAATATGGCAACTAAACTCTGGACTAAGCTATTCAACTCACTGCATAAGACAAACAGATGAAAAAGGCTCAGCAGATCCAAACAAGCAGGATACGAAGTCTATATAGTAGAATACAGGTTTCATATCTGCTAGTTTCCTAGTGACAATAGAATACATATTTTCCTTGTGAAAATCTGGCTCATATCACATATTAGAAGCAAAAGTTTAATCGAAATGATATTGAAGGATTTTACCCAGAGCTTCAAAATTAAAAGTACACACATATCAAATTAAGCAAAAACATTTCTACTACAAGAAAATAATGGTGTTTGTCTTAATGTTGCCAAAAGACAAGGATAGGGAAGTGGTCACCAAGATTTTTATTGCAATGGGAAAATAATGGTGATTTAGCCTTCCTTATAAAGCAAAGAGACAATACTTCTTTTCTGACCTTGAGCATCCATAAGAAATTTTTGGGATTGTTTTTTGTAATGATCAAACATGTTATGAGGCATTCTCTAATGCTTTGGGGGCACTTCCTTCTTCTTCTTCTTACTATTAGTGTTATATACAGAATTTTCATATTTGAGAAAAACAACTGATGGATATTTTATGAACTAACCACCAGAGTTCTTGGAAGTAGAAGACTGTTTTTCATGCCGGTTATTTTTTATCTTCTACCATCCTCCAGAAAAATCATTTACATCTTTATTTATAGTCCATCATTATTTTTGTAAGCAATTCAAAGCAGCAAACATTCCAAATATCCCTCCTCCTCCTCCTATTTTCCCCACCACAGTCCTGTGGGGTAGGCTGGGCTGAGAGAGGGAATGACTGGCCCAAAATCAGCCAGTCAGTTGTTAACTCACTGAGCCATTTCTGAACTTTCCTGCAATGTGAAAAAGAGACCTATCTGCAGCCAGTGTTTTGTTTAGAAGAGCGTCCACCTGTCTTGAAAAAGCAGAAAAACTATAAGAGTAGGATTGTGCTTTGCTATGGTGGATAAGGATGCATTTGTCTGCAATTCTTTAAACAAAATATGGCCTTTTCTGGGGAAGAAAGGCAGCTGCATAATCCCATGAAACTAACCCCGGGAAAAAAAATGCAGCTGCCTTAAAGAATTGCAAACAGGTGCAGCATTCCTTTCTCTGTGCTCTCCAAAATATATATTTTTGCATTTGAATCCAAAATGCAGTGGTACAGTACAAGAGGGCAAATAAGAATACACAATCAAGAAATGTTATTTGAAATAAGTGCTTTGTAAACTTATCTGTGGCAAGTCTTCCCAGCCACTGTTTTGCAAAAGCATTCACAACAATATCCATCAGAATCCAAATATAGGGTTCCAACTTTAGGTGACATTTATGGCTGCTTATTTTGTTTCTACTACTAATAAAGAAATGAGTGAAAAATCATCATTTTTATAATTATCCCTGAAGTGGAAGAAACAATTATATAAAAGGCTTCAAATGTAATTGAATACATAATTACAATTAAGCCAAAAATGCAATTCCAGTAAATTAGAATTTGCTCATAGAAATTCCCAGATTAACCCATGACATCTCCAGCAAGTGATAGGAAAGCTCTTTTTCCACCTAAGGCCCAGAAGAAATAGTACTGAGTTAAATAGAGTATAAGCATAAAGGTAAAAAATGATATATGCAATGTTATCTTCATTTTAGACGTCTCAAGGATTTTGTGGCTCCCTGTGTGTTCTTTTCTGTGGGAAGCTGGTCCAAATGGCTCTTTGAGTGTTTAAGGTTGCAAACCCCTGCTCTGGTGTGTGTGTGTGTAAAAGGCAGCAGTGATCACTGATCGTAACAGACAAGAACAGGCATCAAACAGCAGATCCATAGAAGCAGGGATTTACCCCACTAGGTAGAACCCAAAGGGTAGATCAATGTCTCTCAGCTGAAAGATGTATGGACTTTAACTCCCAGAATTCCCCAGCCATCCATCAAGGAATTTCCAAAGAAGATTGTGGAGAATAATAGAGCTAAGAATCTGTGGGAGTTCTGGCTCCAGAAGGACAGGCAGGCATTAGATAATCAACCAGACACTGTAGTAGTAGACAAATTAATAGACAAAGACCAGAAGAGCTCAGAAGGCCAGGCAAGCGAGGTGAGGCGAGGCACCACTCGACGTATGTTATGTCAAGTTGGCTACGCCCACCCAGTCTCACAACCACCCAGCCACGCCCAGCCACCCAGCCATTACAGCAGAGAACCGGTTGTTAAAATTTTGCAGCCCACCACTGGCTTTATGACAAATTAACATGATATAATCTTTGACAAGTCAGCAAATTCATCCTCATCAAGTACTTGAGGAAAAAAACCTCACTCCACCCCCAGCACATCTCTATGGGAGATGCAACACTTCAGAATGCCGATGGCTCCTCCATTCTAAGACCCCAACCCTCTCCCTTCCCAGTCACATGACCTACACCACTGATATTTTAAGAGGTTGGAAGGATCTTATTAATTATTAAGATATTCTTCCTTAGTCATTTTTTAGTCATGCGTTAGTCTCATTTAGACTTGAATGCTCTTAGGCAGACTAAAAACAAATTGCTGAAAAGTATAAGAAAGTTAGAGTAGATAGTGTGTCTTTCAATAAGTATATAAGAAGATAAGTTTCTACTTATCTTTTTATATACTTATTGAAAGACACACTATCTACTCTAACTTTCTTATACTTTTCAGCAATTTGTTTTTAGTCTGCCTAAGAGCATTCAAGTCTAAATGAGACTAACGCATGACTAAAAAATGACTAAGTGGCAAACAAAAATAGATGCTGCTATTTAAAGATTCTGCCCTCCTTATGTGGGCCTTGAAAAGGTCAGAGATTACTTTCTAGTAATCTCTGACCTTTTCAAGGCCCACATAAGGAGGGCAGAATCTTTAAATAGCAGCATCTATTTTTGTTTGCCACTTCCTTGTGTTCACATGGATTGAAATATGAATCATCCTTTATAAGCACAAGTTATCCCAATGTTTGACATTATAAGAAAGTTACTAAACTGTATGGTTTCAACAAAGAGCTAACAGAACTAGATCAGATATTGACTGGAACAGATGAGAAATTGATAAAGAAATTATATTGTTATCTATTAAGTATTAAACTTGAAAGTGAGCAGGTAAAGGAGACAATTGTTGTTTTGTTTCTGTGTTTTTAAATAGGCTGTACACCGCCCTGAGTCCTTCGGGAGAAGGGCGGTATAGAAATAAAATTATTATTATTATTATTATTACAATGATTGCTTGGGCTAAAAATATTGGAATTATGTTAAGGGGAGTAGAATTCCATCTATTCATCTGCCAGCAGGATAACAAAATGAAACCAGACCAGATTTAGTTTGGGGAGCAAAAGAAAGATCGCTCTGAACATGGCCCAGATCTGATGATAGAGGAAGGACTCTAGAGAGGAAAAAAACATCACTCCACCCCCAGCACATCTCTATGGGAGATGCAACACTTCAGAATGCCGATGGCTCCTCCATTTTAAGACCCCACCCTCTCCCTTCCCAGTCACATGACCTACACAGTGGTAGGATTCAATATTTTTAACAACTGGTTCTGTGGGCGTGGCTTAGTTGGGGTGTGTGGCTTGGTGGTCATGTGACTGGGTGGGTGTGGCTAGCTGTTCATGTGACTGGGTAGGCGTGGCTAGCTGATCATGTGACTGGGTGGGCATACCTATGTGCATAGGGACTACTCAGAGGGCTGAAAAAAGTCATTTCTGATTGATCCTCGCACTTTTGACCGGTCCTCGCACTTATGACCATCCTCACATTTATGCCCATTGCGGCATTCTTAACAACCGTGTCAATCATTTCATCACTACTTCTCTTTACCACGGTGACAAGATAGGGCACAAAATGTAAAATGTGAGGACAGTCGTAAGTTCAAGGACTGGTCAAAAGTGCAAGCACCAGTCAAAAATAACTTTTTCAGCCCTCTGAGTAGTCCATATGCACATAGGGACTACTCAGAGGGCTGAAAAAAGTCATTTCTGACTGGTCCTCACACTTTTGATCGGTCCTCGCACTTATGACCATCCTCACATTTATGCCCGTTTAGAAGCCCAACCAAAGTTTCCCGCACCACTTCAGAGAGCGCTCCTCAAGAGACGAGAACTTGCAGGGGGCCGAGAGAGCAATAGAGAGCAAAATCCAACTGCTCCCCGAACCAGACGCTGTTTACCGCTCCGAATCGGCAGGAAACAAGGGCTGCCTTGTGCCGCAAATATACCAAGGTGGAATCCTGATCCGGATTCCTTACAGCAGATTCCTTACAGCGGAGAGAAGAAGCCGGATTTTGCTCTCCATTGCAGACACCAGATCGTATTGCACCACCTGCAAAAATGCAAAAATTTCCAAATGTAGCCCTGCCCTCTAACAGCCCTCCTGATGTTCAGCTGTTTTCTCTCAAGGAGGATACTTGGCCATCTTCATGCTTGAAAGGATTCTACAGTGTAACAGCGGATGTCTTCCACCTTGGCAGCTTTAAGACTTGTGGACTTCAACTCCCAGAATTCTCCACAATTCCCCAGAATGGGCTAGGCTGCAGTTGAAGTCCAGAGGTTGTAAAAGAGCCACAATTGCCCAGCCCTGGGCTAGGGTAGGCTGACGCTGCGCAGGTAGGTGGTGGGGCAGGGCGAGAGGCGGTCGAGCCAGCAATTTAACAAATGGTTCGGTGTGCTGCGAGGCCAATAAATTGCAAAAAAACACTGAACTGTTTATTAAATTACTGGCTCCCCCGCCTCTCGCCCCACCCTGCCCCACTATTTATTGGCAAGGGGCGGGGTGAGCCAGCAATTTAACAAATGGTTTGGCCGAACTGCCTAGAACTGGCAGAATCCCACCACTGGACCTACACCACTGA